AGTAGAGGCCTCGTTCCGCGGCTTCTCTCGACTTCCCGCGGTCTCTCTCAAGTTTCGAGCACGCGGTGAGTTTCACGATATATGTGTGTGTATGTACGCGTGCATGCATGTATGCATGCATTGATCATGTGTGCCTGTGTGTAGGTACGTATGTATGTATGTATGCTTGTGCGCGTATGTATGTATTTAGTTTGTATGTATGTTTGTATGTGTGTATGATAATATGTGTGTATGTGTGTGAATGTAAGTATGTATGTCTGGAAGATTGTTTTTCTATGTATGCAAATGTGTTTAAATGTAGGTATGTATGCATGTGTGTATGGATGTGCGTTTGAAGAGCGAGGATGTTTCAAAGAAGAGGCACTCGGTGACGCGATCGTTGAGGGATAGGAGTGAGGTCGCAGAGGAGGAGGAGGAGAATGAGGAAGAGGCGATAACTTGAAGGAAAACGATGAGACGGAGGACATCCTGCCGGTGGCGCCCTGGGCGGTGCCGCGGAAGAAACCGGGGGCCTGCCGGAGGCAGTCTGGAGGCCTCTGGGGAGCTGTTTTGGGGCCTCTTGGAACCTCTTTTGGGCCTCTTGTGGGCTTCTTGGGGCCCCTTGGGGGTCTCTTGGGGCCTCCTGGGGGCCTCTTGGGGCGGAAAGCTCGGTTCTTTCGGTTCGTGGTCCCCCTCTTGGGCCCCTCTTGGGGCTCTCTTGGGGCCTTCTTGGGCTGTCCAGAGGCCCTCTTGGGCCGTCTTGGGGCCCTCTTGGGCCGTCTTGGGGCTCTCTTGGGCCGTGTTGGAAGCATCGTGGGCCGTCTTGGGACGGACTTGGGGGCCTCTTGGGCCGTCTTCGAGCGTCGGACGCCCGAAAAGGCAAGAACGCTAAAAACCCTGAGAAAACCAATGAAAATCAACGATTCTGGCCTCTTGGGGCCCTCTTGGGAGGCCTCTTGGAAGCTTCTTGGGGCGTCTTGGAGACACCTTGGGCCGTCTGGAGGCCATCTCGGGCGTCTTGGAGCGATTTTTCGGCGACTCGGGGCCCTCTTGGAACCCCTTGGGGGTCTCTTGGGCCCCCCCCCTCCTCCAAAGCGCCGGAAAAAGCGGAGCATGGCGCCCCCCCCCCCCCTATCTTCCACTCCCCCGGAGCGGCCCCGGGGTTCGCCGGAAACTCGCACCCCCCCCCCCCCCCCACCCCCCCTTCCCCGGCAGAGCCACCCCGGCGACCCCCCCAGAGGCTGAAGCTCAGCCTCGAGGCTGTAGCTGAGACTCCTTGAAACTCACACGCCGGATCGGCGGATTTGAATTCCCTAGGGTTTTTCGATGTGTTTGGGATCCGCTACTATCCGAGTTTCCAAACATTTGCGATTGCCTATGAGGGCTCCAACAGCGCTTCAGGACAGGCCCAGAGGCCCCCAGGAGGGCCCCGGGACGGCCTAACAGGGTTCCATGACGGCCTCCGGGGCGCCCGAGACGGTCTCGGAGGCCCTGAAGACGGCCCCAAGATGGACTCCAGGGGGAGGTGAACCGAAATTTCGAGTCTCTCGCCCCAAGAGGCTCCCAGGAGGCCCCAAGAAGGCCCCCAGAGGCTGCCACGAGGCTCCAAGAGGACCCCAAGAGGCGCCCACGACGCCCCAGAAGGCTCCCAGACGGCTCCCAAGTGACCACACAACGGCCCCCCAGTGGCCCCTTCGATGCCTCCTTCGACATCCTCCTAACACTTTCATGGCTTTTGACCCTCTACCCAGGCACGGTGGCGAGATGGGTCGAAGGCCATTCCGATTTCTTCGGCACAATCCGTACGCTCTTTCCCACATTCCTTCCTTGCCGTGGCCTTCCCAGCTCCTACAAATTGTTGTTTTGTCACCGTGCACCTCCCCCATTTCACTTCCAAGCTTCACCGCCACCTCAAGATTTTCGACTGGTTCCATCTGGCTGTCATTCGGGATTTGCGGCCCTGGAAACCGCCACGAAGACTCCAGTCCGGCCAGCACTATCATGTTCTCAGGGAGCTTCCTGTAAACACGATTGTCGCCGCCAGTCCGACGAGGAAACCGAAGAGGAGGAGGGTCCGCGCCATCCCTCTGGACACATCATATTCAGCGTAGCGTTGCCCAGGGACTCGTTCACAGCGGAGCAGGGGTGGGCCCGCGACCCTGCTCCGAGTGGACTCGGTGTCGGGGGTGCTGCTTGCAACTGCCGCTCTATGCGAGGCCCCCAAGATGCCCCCGGAGGCCCCCACGTGTCACATGTAGAAGAAAGGGAGGGAGAGGGAGGGAGGGAGGGAGGGGGGGGAGGAGGAGGAGAACGATGAGGAAGGACGAAGACGACCACAACCGGACCCGGACACGGACACCCTTCGGATTTGCCCATTTGGGCTCACGGCCTTTTTTGACTTCTTGCGGAGCCTCCTGGGCCTGTCCTCCGCCGGTCAGGCAGTTCCGGAGGCCGCCGAAAAAAAGCGACCAGAGTGGCCTGGGGGCCGAAGCCGCCCGACGGAGACGCTTCGCTTCGAGAGTCCCTGAAGACGTTCGGGGGTGGACAGAACCCCCAACAGTGACACGTCGATTAGTGAATTGTCGGTTTTCGGTTCTCGAGATGGCGCTGTGGCCGTTATTTTCCAGGCTCGCGCCCGCCAGGTTTGTGCCTCAGGTCGTTTTCACTAAACCACGTTTTACTAAAGGGGGGTCTGTCCATCCCCGAAACGTTTTAAGAGGGCTCCAAGATGCGCCCCGAGAGGGCCACAGGAGGCCAACACTGCTTCGTACCAGAAGCAATCGATGGCTCTGGCGACGAAGCCGACTTCTGTGCAGTCATGTGTGGCGCAGGGCACTGGTCTCTCTTCTTGCACCTGCGCGCCGCGAGGCAATGCGGAGCAATGGCTGTTGCAGAGCACGAGTGCACGTGTGCGCTGGACTCCTTGTGGGGCACGATCCGCGTGAATGGTGTGCTGAATAATTCGGATGCCCCCGCGCGAACACGCCCACTGAGGCCGCAGGTGGACCTCCTCTAGGAACGACCCGTGCGAAGCATGTTCCGAAACGGGCGGGGCACGCCATGCGAAGTTGCCCGCTGGTCCCATGAGTCGAGCTCTTTTTGGGGCATACTTCGCGTGACGGGTGTGCGGACATGGGCGGAGGAGCGCTGTACAAACATGGTTTTTGGGCATTAAAAAGGGTTGTTCTTTGTGGGCACGATCCGCGCAGTGTGGTGTGCCGCAATGGCCATGAAGGGTGGAGTGGGGGGGCGCAGTGCGAACCCTGCCTCTTGGGCCGTAGGTGGGGATCTGTGTGTGCCACGATCCGTGTGAGAGGTGTGCCGAAGTAGGCGGGGGGGCGGGATGCGAACCTTGTCTCTGGGGCCGTCAGTGGAACTTTCTGTGGGCCACGATCCGTGTGAGAGGTATGCCGAAGTGAGCTGGGCGATGCTATGAAGTTTCCCTCTGGTGCCACAGGTGAAAGTATATGAGGGGCACGATCCGCCTGACGGGTGCGCCACTCTGCAAGCCTTGCCTCTGGAGACGGAGGTGGGGTTCCGTGTGGGGCGCGATCCCCGTGAGGGGTGTGCCCGTCTTTTCCCGCGAGGACAGCTGGCGGAAGCCAGCTGGCGCCGTTGGGAGAAGGGCAAGAAGGCGGCGGGAGTACCGCCTGGCTCTTGTCGGAGATCTGAGCCCTCCTCCTCCTCCTCCTCCTCCGCCTCCGCCTACGACTTCGCCTCCGCCTCCTCCTCCGACTTCGCCTCCGCCTCCGCCTCCTCCTCCTCCTCCTCCTCCTCCTCCTCCTCCTCCTCCTCCTCCTCCTCCCCCCTGGCTTTGCGGCCATGACTCGGGTCTCCAGTGGCCTTTCGGGAGGATCCCTGCACCCCCAGAGCACTCTCGACGAGGTGCAGCCGCTGAAACGCAGCCCGAGGCTGGAATACCTTGTGATAGTTTTTTATTCATTGTTCTCCCGATAGGCGCGGGCCCTCGCACCCCCCCCTCCCCCCCCATGGGTTTAGATCTGGGCTGTTTTTTGGCGCCTGTTTCGAGCGGGTGGAGTCTCCCTCATGGGGCGTACTCTTGCAAACAGACACATGAAGCGCAGGTCCGGAGGCAGACCCCCCCTCCACCTCCCCCCTTTCCGCCCAATGTCGAAACGCCGAAAAAAAAAGCTCACCTCGGGAACCGACGAAAGTGTCCGAGGACCTCGAACTTTCTCCTTCCCTCCTCCTCTGCACGGGGGCGATAGGGGGGACGGGCTCAGGGGGGGTAAGCATCGATCGGAAATCGGCAGTACGCCACCGATACATCGGCGATATGCCCCGGCTAGCGACGCCCGCCATAGGCCCCTGATAGCGGATGGCGCGTCCACCACTCTTGGTCTCAGAGCTGGCGCTGCGGGGACTGGTTCAGGCAGATGCAGCCACGCAGAAGTTCGCAGCCAGACGCTGACAGGGAGACGTGCCGGGAGAATGAGGTGCACACGTGGGGATCTCCGCGTCGAGAAGCTGCTCTCCGAGTGACTCCCGGCTGGTCCCCAGAACGCGCGCCCGAGCGTCTCCGTGCTCCATCCCCCCCAGTGGGATCGGCGCACGTCCGACGCGGCAGATCGACGCACGAGCGGAGCGAGCGGCTCCGGGAGGGGGTCCCCGGAGCCCACACCCCCGTGCCTCCCGCCCTCCCTGCCCCGAGGCGCGCCCCCTGGGGGCCGAAAAGAGTATACCCCGCCACCACGTCGATGCCTCCTCGTCTCCCCCGTCCAGAGAGGGGGAGGGGGGGGGAGGGAGGTGGTGGCAATGGTGGCGTATACGTTGTGGCCCCCCACGCCCTTGCCCCCCCTGGCTCCCCCTGCCCGCTGCGGGGAGGGAGGGAGGTGGTGGTGGTGCACACGTTTTGGCCCCCAACGCCCCTTTGCCCCCCCCCCCTCCCCTGGCCCCCCCTGCCCGCTGCGGCCCGGCCGGCTCGAGAGCGGGGGCTCCCTGGGCGCGGCGGCCGCCCCCCCCCCCCCACCTCCTCTCGCCCCCGCAGGCCTGCGGCTCAAGTCGGGCCGGTCCCTCTGCAGGGGGGATCCTCGAGCATCGTCCCAAAATCGTCGGGGGACGATGTTTGGAATATTTTTTGACCATTTGGGGGTATTTTTGGTGTTTTCTTTTTAGATTTCGCCCAAAGTCGGCCTGTAGGGGGGGACAGGCCCGACTTAAACCGGCGGGCCGCCTGCCGCCTCCGCTCGGGCATGGTCGCCGCCGGAGGCGCTCACACGGTCCTGCTCCTGAGCGATGGGTCGGCCGTGGCCTGCGGCAGCAACGAAGCTGGTCAGTGCGACCTGCCCGCGCTCTCCGGAGGCCTCGTCTACACACAGGTCGCAGCCGGACAGCAACACACGGTCTTGATCAGGAGCGACGGGTCGGCCGTGGCTTGCGGCGACAACTGCGCCGGTCAGTGCGACCTTCCCGCGCTCGAGGGAGGCCTCGTCTACACCCAGGTCGCAGCCGGAGAGCTCCACACGGTCCTGCTCAGAAGCGACGGGTCGGCCGTGGTCCGCGGCAACAACGGCGCTCTTCCGCGCGCCGTTCCCGCGCTCGAGGGAGGGCTCGCCTACACCCAGGTCGCAGCTGGAGCCTTCTACGACGCCCTGCTCCTGAGCGACGGGTCGGCCGTGGGCTGCGGCCACAACGGTGATGGTCAATGCGACTTTCCCGCGCTCACGGGGGGCCTCGCCTTCTCCCAGGTCGCAGCCGGAGAGTTCCACACAGTCTTGCTCCAGAGCGACGGGTCGGCCGTGGCCTGCGGCGACAACGGCGCTGGTCGGTGCGACCTGCCCGCGCTTACGGGAGGCCTCGCCTACACCCACGTCACAGCCGGAGACGCCCACACGGTCCTGATCAGGAGCGACGGGTCGGCCGTGGCTTGCGGCAACAACGAAGCTGGTCAGTGCGACCTTCCCGCGCTCGTGGGAGGCCTCGCCTACACCCAGGTCGCCGCCGCTGGCGCCCACACCGTCCTGCTCCGCAGCGACGGGTCGGCCGTGGCCTGCGGCCACAACGGCGACGGTCAGTGCGACCTCCCGGCGCTCGCGGGAGGCCTGGCGTGCGTGGCGCCTTCGCTGCCCACGCTGCTCCTGCAGGCGTCGTTCGACGGCGCCGCGGTGCGGTTCCTCACCCTGGGCGGCCAGGAGCGCTGCCGAGTCGCGGCGGCGCCCGGCGTCCTGCTGGCGGACGTGCGCGAGCAGCTGGTGGCGGAGCGTCGTGCGGGCAGGCTGGGCCCCGGGCTCGCGCGGGTCGACGCGGCCCTGCCGGAGGGGCGGCTCCTGAGCGAGGCCCCGGGCGAGGAGACCGTCGCGAGCGCCTTCGGGCTCTGAAGCGAGGGTGGGCGGGCCAGCGCCGAGCGTGAGCGGGGCGGCGGTGCTCCCTGGGCGCGAGCCTCCCCTCCGCCTCTGCACCCCCCCTGTTTCACCCGCCTCCTCCTCGTCGTTCTCCCCCCTTTTCCTTTCCTCGCCTTGTCTACTGTCTGTGCTCCTGCCTCTCCTCCATATTCGGGGCTGTTCATGATGATGGTAGCGACGGTGGTCCTGATCGTAATCAAGATGATGATGATGATGATGATGATGATGATGATGATGATGATGATGATGATGATGATGCTGATGCTGATGATGATGATGATGATGATGATGATGATGACGATGATGATGATGATGATGATGCTGATGATGATGCTGATGCTGATGCTGATGATGATGACGATGCTGATGATGATGATGCTGATGCGGATGATGATGATGATGACGATGACGATTATGATGATGATGGTGATGATGATGACGATGGTCATGATGATGATGATGATCGTGATGCTGCTGACGGTGACGATGACGATGACGATGATTATGCTGCTGCTGATGATGATAATGATGATGCTGATGATGCTGATGATGATGATGCTGATGATGATGATGATGTGGATGATGATGATGTGGATGATGATGAAGAGGAGGAGGATGATGAGGGTGAGGATGAAGACGAGGATGAGGATGAGGATGAGGATGCTGCTTCTGCTCATGATGATGCTGATTATGATTATGGTTCTGATGATGATGGTGGCTGTGCTGATGATGATGCTGATGATGCTGCTGATGATGATGATGCTGATCACGATGACGATGACGATTACGATGCTGCTGCAGCTGCTGCTGATGATGATGCTGATGATGCTGCTGCTGATGGTGGTGATGATGATGATGATTATGATGATGGTGATGGTGATGGTGATTGTGATGATGATGATGATGACGATGATGATGATGATGATGATGGTGATGATGATGCTGATGATGATGATGACGATGATGATGATGATGGTGACGATGATGATGATGATGATGATGCTGATGATGATGATGATGCTGATGATGATGATGATATGAGGATGATGATGATGATGCTGATGCTGATGATGATGATGATGACGATGATGATGATGATGATGATGATGATGATGACGATGATGTGATGATGAGATGATGATGATGATGATTGCTGGATGATGATGATGATGATGATGATGAGGTGTGTGGTGGTGGTGGTGATGATGATGATGATGAGGATGATGATGAGGTGTTGGTGGTAGGATGGTGATGTGATGTGGTGATGAATGTGATGATGATGATGATGATGATGATATGACGATGATGATGATGATGATGATGATGATGATGATGATGTGATATGATGATGAATGAAATGATGATGAGATGATGATGAAGATGATGATGATGATGATGATGAATGATGATGATGATGATGATTGATGATGAATGATGATGATGATGATGTGGATGATGATGATGATGATGATGATGATGATGAATGATGATGATGATGATTATATGATGATGATGATGATGATGATGATGATGTGTGGTGGTGGTGGTGGTTGGTGGTGGATGATGATGATGATGAAATGATGATGATGAATGATGATGATGATGATGATGATGATGATGATGATGATGTGATATGATGATGATGATGATGATGATGATGCATGATGATGATGATGATGATGATGATGATGATGATGATGATGATGATGATGATGATGATGATGATGATGATGATCATCATCATCATCATCATCATCATCATCATCATCATCATGATGATGAAACTGATGATGCTTTGGGCAGGGCAGAAGTGGCGTTCCGTCTGTCGGATTCTGCTTGTTGTGTTGTTGTTCTGTATCGCCCGCATGCGTGGACCCCCACCCAGTACAGCGTTTCGTGTTCCCATAGGGAGCCAGTACAGCGCTTCGTGTTCCCGTAGGGAGCTCCACCGACGGCCTCAGTGCTACCGCCCGCATGCGTCCCCCCCACCTGGTACAGCGCTTCGTGGTCCCATAGGGGGCTCCACCGAAGGCCCCAGTGCTACATCCCACATGCGCCCCCCCCCCCAGTACAGCGTTTCGTGCTCCCATTGGGAGCTCCACCGAAGGCCCCAGTGCAACCGCCCGCATGCGTGGCCCCCACCCACTACAGCGCTTCGTTGCCCCATAGGGAGCTCCACCGCCGGCCCCAGTGCTACTTCTCGCATGCGCCCCCCCCAACCAGTACAGCGTTTCGTGGCCCCGTAGGGAGCTCCACCGACGGCCCAAGAGCTACTGCCCGCATGCGTCCCCCACCCAGTGCAGCACTTCGTGGCCCCATAGGGAGCTCCACCGACGGCCCCAGTGCAACCGCCCGCATGCGCCCCCCCGACCCAGTACAGCGTTTCGTGTTCCCATTGGGAGCTCCACCGAAGGCCCCAGTGCAACCGCCCGCATGCGTCCCCTCCAGTACAGCGTTTCGTGGCCCCATAGGTGGCTCCACCGTAGGCCCAAGTGCTACCGCCCGCATGCGTGGACCCCCACTCAGTACAGCGTTTCGTGTTCCCATATGGGGGCTCCACCGAAGGTCCAGTGCTACCGCCCGCATGCGTCCCCCCCACCAAGTACAGCGTTTCGTGTTCCCATTGGGAGCTCCACCGACGGCCCCAGTGCTACCGCCCGCATGCGTGGCCCCCACCCAGTACAGCGTTTTGTGGCCTCATAGAGAGCTCCACCGACGGCCCCAGAGCTACCGCCCGCATGCGTTCCCTTCCACCCAGTGGAGTGTTTTGTGGCTCATAGGGAGTTCGACCGAATAAGATATTCACACATGCGGTACTCACAACTGCATATGGTTGGGTCTCTCCCCAGGATAATTTCTGCTGCCCCTATTTTTTTGTTCCCCATGATTGGCGCGCCCTGGCCTTTTCGGGTTCCCGACGCTTCAAGACGGCCCACGAGCCCCCCGAGCTCGCCCCAAGACTGCCCATCAGGCCTCCTGGGTGTTCTCCATGGCCTGTCCTTTTTCCTTTCCTTATCCGCCCACCTCTTCTCTCTGCGGCGCGCAGTCCCTTCCCTGCATTCTCCTCGCCGTCGTCTTCGTCATCCTCCTCCTCGTTCTCCTCCCTCTCCATCAAGTCCCAAGGGCTTCTGCATAGGATAGGAGTGGGCGAGCTTCGCTTCCTGCTTCTCATGTCCATCTTTCTTCCCCCCATCCTCCTTCTCCTCCTCCTCCATTTCCTTTCCTGATCGATCATGCTCCTCGTGCGCGCCCGGCGCGGCGCCTGGGAGAGGCAGTGCGCAAGAGATTCGCGGTGCACTCAGAGGTGCATCAATTTAAGGAGGATGTTGGTTGTGTTTCGTATTAGAAGTACGTTTCTTCCTCCCTCTTCTGGCTAACCTTCTCTCTCCCCCGTGGGGGATGCCGCACCGGTCGCGAAGAGGGTGTAGTCCTCGGTTTCAGTCTTTGTGCGCCTCGGCACCAATGGGTGGGATTGAGGTCTTGGTGCATGGATCTCCTCCCCGCCCCACTCTTTCGCTGCATGCGCGCAGGTTGCGTCAGGGGCCACCCGACGAACAAGGCACAGTCTTCTCCTCCGCCTCCTTCCTCCGCCTCCTCTCTGCCGCTCCGTCCCTCCCCCTCCGCGCTGGGGCACGGCGCAGCCTGCAGGCGTCAGTGGCACGGCGCGCCAGGGAGGAGGGGTTTGTTTCGGCCAGGCCAGAAGGGGGGACCTCCACGTGGTCGAGGGGATGTGGTCGTCGTCGTCGTCGTCGTCGCCGTCGTCGTCGCCGTCGTCGTTGTCGTCGTCGTGGTCGCCGTCGCCGTCGCCGTCGCCGTGGCCGTCGCCGTCGCCGTCGTCCTCGTCGTCGTCGTCGCCGTCGTCGTCGTCGTCGTCGTCGTCGTCGTGTGCCGACATGGGCGGGGGGACGCTAAGCCAAGCCTGTCTTTGGGGCCGCAGGTTAAGCTCCCTGAGGGGCACGATCCGTGTGACAATAGATGCCCTCCGATGCCGAAGATTTTTGATTACAGGTAGAGCGTGCTAGAACCTCAGCGCGCGCGAAGCGCGCGCGTGGGGACGATTTTCGCTTTGCTATTTTTGAATCGTTTGAGTATTTGTTTGACCATTTTTATTCCTCGTCCCAAAATCCGCCTGTAGGAGGGCACGCCTGACCTGAGCCCGGGGCTCCAGCCGTGATTGTTGACGATGCTTCGATTTTTTGCGCCGTCGGATCTCTGCCCCCACCCCTCCTCCTCCTCATCCTCCTCCTCCTCGTTCGTTCGTTCGTGGCCTTAGGGACGGAGTCTGAGTCCCACACAGCTGGAGCAGAGAGCAGCGATAGACAAGAGGAAAAAAGGGAGGCAGCGATCGCGGCAGCGGCGCGTCCTCCACGTGCATCTCCATGAATCCCCCCCCGCCCATATGCAAGGCCCAAACCCTCCGCTATTGGGTGATTTAAATAGCCCTGTCCTCGAGGGCACGGTCGGAGTCACCGACCACCGTCTGGAAGGCGTAGATCAGGGTCAGCTGCACGACTCTTAGGACACTGCGCTTGGGACCCGAGATGAACAAAAACCAAAACGGTGGGGGAGGGGAAGCCAGACTTAGCTGGCGCTGTCAACCTTCTCATAAGTACTTCGAAGTAAAACAACGAGAAAAGCCAGGGCCCCCCTTCCTTATGATACTGCGAGTCAAAGTGCCGCGCACACGACAGCATAACAACCCCCCCAAGTTACAGCAAGAGTAGGTGCTGCGCACACCCTTGGGGGGCACAAAAAAACAAGGAGCCCACGGACCATTCCCTCTAACAGGGGCCAAGACCTCCAGAGGTACTGCGAGTGTTAAGTGCCGCGCACACCATCCGTGGGGGTCTGAGTTGAGAAAGGTGCCGTGCGAGCGTACTCCCGCCCGTGCTGGAGATTAAAATATGGGTCCAGAGGAACAGCAAACGGGGCAACATCTTCGGGCAGGTCCAATGGGGGCATGCCAGGAACGTTAAACCCACGGGTGGCATCCTCGAACAAACATTCAGCCAGGAAACGGCAAAACTGCGAAGGATACGTTTTGGCCCTGGGGATGCGCCTCTCTCCACTGTCGCCAAACCCCTCCAGGACACTCGCGTGGACGCTGTGAGTGCATCTCCCCCGATGTGTCAGCTCCCTAAGCACC